GCATGTTTTCATCATAGTCCTCAGTGACTTAGTTTGTCGTTAATCTTAATTCAGAGATTGCCCATTCACTTTCAGATTTTTGAGAGCTAGAGCTGAGAAATAATAGGAACTCTTTGATTTTAAATTTGTTCTGGTATTTCAGATTTTTGATTTTAATTTTGTTCTCGTATTTCAGATTTCTAATTTAACATTGAAACATAAATCCCTACTGTTGCTTTGTATCTATATTCAGAGTCATGCTCTCGGAAAACCCCTACCTGAACTTCTAAGCTTCATGTGTATATCGGTAAAGTTCATGGAGCTTATCCAAATATTGAGAAGCAAAACTTTAGAAACTGCACCGAGCTCTTTGATACCTAATGTGACATCCAGGCACCACGAAAGGGATTAATGCATTTGGGAATGTCTGTGTGTGCAGAACCGTGTCTAGCACGTGTGCTGGAAAAACGCCTCTGCTGCAGCTAAGCTGCAGTTGTGATACAGTGAAGGCTGGGCCTGGGCTGCACCCTTGCTTCTCAGCACACCTGCTGGTTTCACTAAGGCCAGGATTCAGGCCTTGCATGCTAAGGAGACATGCAGAGTGAAACAAAAAAGCGTAATTAATACTTGGAACTACTCTATACATCAAAACTCACGTACCAACAATAGTACCTGTACCTATAAAGAGTGCAACACTGCACAGTCCAGAGCTACGGCTTTGTGTATGTGGGCTGCTTTGGACCTTTGTGGGGTGTGGTTTGGTTTGGGTTTTTTTTGGTTGGTAGTTCTTTTTGTGGTGGGTTTTTAAAAAATAACACAACAAAAAAAAAAGTTGAATTATGGTACTAATAAAGTAGACTTTTTTGGCTAAAAAAAAAAGCCCAGCAGTATACTCAGTTCAAGCCAGTTGGCAGTTTCTAGATAACGTGCCTGTCTTAAATCACGTTACATTTCTGACTGTCATTGTTGAACCATTTGGATCAACCTCTTTTCTCAGTGACAGAACCAGGCTGTGTTTCTTGCAGCTGCCTTTGTTGGAGATAAAGAACTAAATTCTGTTAACCTTATGCTGTTCTAGGACAGCTGAAAATAAATGCAAACAGCTAATCCTTTTCATCTCAGTACAGTCTGAGGTCACGTTACAGCTAGCTCAGGCAGTATCCGGCCAGGCGACCGGCAGTTTAGTTATATTCAAACAGATTTAAGGAAGAGTTCTGGAATGGACTGTTCCATGAAATAAAAGTAATTTATTTAACTTACAAAGGGAAAACTAAATAATGACATTTACTCTTCTTTCTTTTCATACTTCTCATACTTCACAGCCTGCAATTTAAAATCACCTTTGGAGAAAGGTGCTTTTTATTCTAGTATATTTTACAATACAGCACAGACATCAAAATTTTCATTGGAGGAGTAAGACAGTTTGTTAACATTTAAATACGCGGACATCTGTTCCAGTCTCTTAAGAACATGGGTTTTGTTTACAACAGAAAAATACATCTGACAACAGTAGCTAGTTATATTACAAGCAAACAATAGTGAACTCTGCATAGTTTATACAATATACTGTGGTAATAATTTCATTACCAGTTTTATCCACTATTTACTAGCTGGCCATATAAAGCCTGACATTCATCTGAACTGTGGCATTATACGTTCCATTGGTATTCTCTTAACAGCTTCATTTAGTGAAGTATTTTATGGACAAATGAATTTCAAAACTAAAAGCTGACTAGAGTCATGGATGTCTTCACTACAAACATTTAGTGCTTACAATACATTCCTAAAGTAAAGGCAGGTGTCCAGTAGAAAACATAGCTGTCAGAAAGGAAATTAGTGTGCAAATTAAAAAACATCGCATTTAAAAATGTGTTGATGTGCAAGTTACAGTACCAACTGTGTACAATACTAACTGTGAAAAAAATCAGCATAAAATGATACATGTCTCACAGTACGTTCTTGATTGCACATGTTCCACGGCATTTGCATCCATTACACTTTCTTGTGAAAATCAAATACACTGAGTACCCTCAATTAAAACTAAATATTTTACAATGAGTTGCACACATGCTTCAATTAGTGGGAAAAACTGGAATAAAAATAATCAAAATCACATCAGAAATGCTTACTGACTTGTAGAGCCACAGTGCTTCTTAAGTGACTGATAATTCTCAGAATCTTCACAATACACTTATTAAATGCAGCTTGTGGGTTACTGAGCAATAACCTCACCTGTGACTGACTGTACTGGGCTTAATTCTTTGCTTTTACGATACAGTACATGCATTTCCACCCCAGTGATCCTTGTGGGCATACTCAAAATATACCTGTTGTAAAAGTATTTTTTTTCTAATCTTTTTCCCCGTAATACTTAATGATACAGTAACTGATTTGAAAGGAAGCAGAATGTTTCCTTTCCACAGTGCATATCACTGTGTTTTTAGCTACTTAAAGGGACATTATACAAAACCAGGATTAGCTCACTTAACGCTACAGAATGTCAAAAATGCCTGAAGGTACATTGAAAGCATTGGGAAGAACCCTCATTTTCAGCGTGCCATCTGCTCCACAGGAGAAGATACGATTGCCTTGCACAGTTTCAATCTGCGTGACACCAGCACCAATATTTCTGAAAATGGACTGCTTAGCATGTTCATTTTTAAACGAATGAATTAAATTGTAGGCAGTCAGTCTCCACACCTGTATCAAAAGAATGACAAATGACAAAAGGAGATTAAAATTAGGATTTGTACTTTTTTTCCCTAATATTTCAGATTCCTGGCTGTTCTAAACCCTATTCAGCAAAGATAAAAGGGTATTTTTTTGTTGTCCATTAGCAACAATTACAAGTCCCAAGAGTCTGGAGAGGCTCCTGATGAAGGGTAAGGCAAGACAGTGAAAGGCTACCTTAAAGTGGACCAGCTGGTTACTTGGCAGGGTGAAGCTGCCCTGTGTCACCTGAACAGTACTGCCCCTCCCAGCTTCCCCCCCACAAAGCTGCAGAAATGGACAAGTTGCATTTTCCTCCAAGATGACTATTGTCAGCTTTCCAGCAGCTGCTAAGGAATGCTGCAGAGAGTAAGGTGCACAGTTAATACACATGCAGAGTGGTAGTACAGCTGTCCGAGCTGTCTGTGTGGCCTAAGTTGCAGGAGTCCTCATCAAGACCGGGCCACAAAGTGTGCAGAGGCACAGAAAGCACCTATTAAACAGTATGCAGTCCAGCTCAAAGGAAAGAAACTGTATTCTCCTCCTCTTTGCCATGTTTCTTGTATTTCCTTCCTTTAGTATTTCAGGAAATAAGCCCTTTAAAATAGGGACTGTATTTCTGGTTTAGTTTTGTTGTTGTTGTTGTTTGTTTCTTACTACTATGTCATTTCAGTAGCTGTCTGGGGCTTATAGCATCAGGAGAAAAAACAGAACTAGGTGTTACAGAAACTTTACACAATGTTGAAGTTCCTGAGCGTCCCCTGTGTTACAAAGAGAAATATCCAAAGGCAAAACCGTACATTTTTGAGAGAAAAAAATAAAACTAAGATTTCAGAATCATGCACTTTGCTTTATCCACTCAAAATTCAGTCATACAACTTTAGAAAAACTGTTTAGTCTTCTTTAGTGGAGAGCAAAATCTGTTTGCTGTAGAAGGATATTAGTATATTTAAGTTTGCATTACAAACATAAGGCAAGTGTCTTATGTATCAAACGTAGGTTTGGATTTTTTGGGTTTGTTATTGTTTTGTTCCACATTCGCCTGGCCATTTACAGCGTGCTGATCAACATAGGTCAATACGCTACTTCAGCTAAATGCTCGTCTATACAACTCTGCTCCTCCCATACCTTACCTTCATGTTACCTTCTGCGGAGCCTGTAACAAAATAGTCCTCAGAAGGATCCAGTGCAAGGGCCTTAACAGCTGATTCATGTGCTTGGAAGGTGTAAAGGATTTGCCTCTGTCTGATGTCAAAGATGCAGATATATCCCTTCCTGCCTCCAGAAATTAGCAGTTGATGTTTAGGCGCGTACTGAAGTACCGTGGCACCGTGATCATGACAACTGAAGGCTGAAGAAGA